TTCATCATCAACCGACACCCGTGACTCCCTCATCATAGGTGACTTCAATCGTACGCTTCCTCAACGACGTCTCCGTGGGCTGCAGACAAGGGAGTTCTATGTTGGTTGCATTCGCAATGTCTTTATCAATGAAGAAGAACAAAGGCTTGATGCTGCTCAGGCACGTGGAAATGTGATGGTTAGTGTGTGCCCAACCACATGATTATCACTCTAGCACAGGAGTTGCCAAGATAACTTGTTTCAGGCTTCATGCTCTATTGTACCTTTTTATATCCAATGAAAGTGTAAGTTTGTTTCCTTAGGTATGAAGGATTTAATGTTTAACACAGCTGAGTGTTAATGTGAGTACCACTAGCATTTTCAATCAGAACAACAAATGTTTTTATTGAAAGTACATTTAAAATAAATGCATATAGTAATCCTGAGTGACACATTTTGGTTCTATGATCTGAGAAGTTTTTATGGCAATTGGATAATATCATGAAACATTAAATAATTTGGCACCTAGTTTCAACTTTGTATGAGAGTATGCTGAATTGAGCAGAAATTGCTGTTAATTATATTAAATTTTATTTAATGAGAGCCATTGTACTCTAAATAATAAGCAGTTAAAGTTGGTGGGTTTCGTTTTGCTGTTTTAATGGTGCATGTTACCTGTTTTCTTTTTTTAGACCTGCCGTGCACTTGAAGGACATTTAAAAGTCTTGAAGGGTTAACGGTAATATATGAATCTTCTGTTGAGTGAGCATTCATTTTATGATGAAATGATTTTGTGGTGAAAATGCAGTGTTAGTTTAATTTAAATACAAATTACATCATTATCCAAATATTGAGTTATCCATGGCAGTCCTGGGCACATGCTACCATTTCATTTAATCAATACAGTGTATTATGTGAACTTTCTAAGCATCTGTTTTTAATGTAGATTGTAATAATATAAACTTTTTTTATTATTGCTAGTTGTTTTATAAGTTTCTAAGCCCCATCATCATCATCATCCATGGTCACATCCTGTTGTGATTTTGTTGTTCATTTTTGCATATCCGTTTCTGATATTTTCTGTATTTTCAGACCTTTTCTCATGTATTTGTTTCCTTGTATCCTCTTCTGAGTGGTGCTCTGCCTTATTCTTGGTATGTATATATACATCATTTTAACATATTTTCATGTTTAAAGCTATTCTTACCTTGTGTTGTCATTCATTCACATAACCTAGCAAAACCATTCCAGTCTCAATTTCTGTATATCTTGTTTCTGTTCTTCGATGATGACAATGTGAGTTCCTCATGTTCAGGAGGATGTGGCTGTTTGGTGTTCAAGGTGGAGTGGCTGAACTGTGGTCTGCCGCCAACATAGGTTTGAGTGGGAAAATCCACATTCTGATTGATGTGCATGGTCATGATCCAGAATTATATATGTTGGTGCTAGGCTTGTGTTCATTCAATTTAACTTTGAAGGTAAAAAGAGCCAACTTACCTAAAATTTTGGCACTCCAACTCTGTACAATACGATGTCATTACCAAAGAATGGAAACACGAGTAGCTACAAAGGTCCATGAAAGTTTGCAGATTTTGATTTCTGCATTACTTTACGTAAAGGGCTGTCACTTATTCCCTTTAGTAGTGTCTCCTTGGTTATTCCTATTATGATTCTCAGATATGTCATCTTAGCATCCTGCAGTCAATCCATGACCTGGCAAACATGACTAATGGGACCTATATAGTGTAACAAGAGGTATGTTGTTTTATAAATATAATTTTAACAATATTTTTATTACTGCATGTTCTGAATATGTATTTATAATTGTCTTGATTTAATTATTTGGTGTTGAAATGTTTTTACACATTGCATTTCAAGGATGACTTCCTTCTGTAATATGTCACCTGCTTGTTTGTTTTCTGTTTCTTGATAACTTAAAAAGTAAATATGGTGGATTAAGGCTGAGAATTAAGATTCTCATGTAGTGGATCTAAGTTGCAGTCTCAAGCCAGACCTGAGTCTTCATCTCTGCATAAGTTTGGGCTTTGGCATAAACACAGCACAAGGCTCCATTCACAGTTTGGCTGTATGTCAGTCTACTGTCTTCCTCACCATCATCCTATCATTAGCAGTAGTAGAATCCTATTTCGGACAAGCATGGGTCAAGAAAGTAAAGAGGGTGATGACTAGGATATTAAATTTGAGGTTCTTATGGTGAAGAAAGATGTTCATATTGGTTTTTTTAATTATAATGCTATGCAGACTTGTCAGTAGATTTCTGCAAAACATTGGTTTTTACGAGATTTCAGATTTTTAAGAAGTTTTACCAAATAGCCCATAAAAAGGAAAGAGGAAATTGTTGTATTTAGAATAACACCCATCGAATATCTTTAAAGCCAGTGGTTAGCAATTTTAAACATTTTTTTTAATTTTTATATGGTGGTGGCATCATTGAGGGGTTTTGTTGTTGGTCTAAATTCAATGTTATATCCCACGTTTGCTTTATTGTTGGTGGACTAATCGACGTTGGTGTTGGCATTGTATTCAGAATTTCAAATACAATGTAATTGTCTGTATTCAGTTCTTGGTTTAAAGTTTGATATTTACACATTTGACCCCGCGTATATATCTGTTGGGCTAGGTTAGATTGTTAGGGTAGACACATCTGTCTCTGCATAAAATTTAGGCTTTCTGGGTGGTCAGTTCTTGGTTCATTTGCATTAGGTAGGCACCTGCACATCAGTCTATGACGAATTACTGCACACATAATAGGATTTGTTTCAGGCAGTATGCACAAAGTATATAAAATGACACGAAGTAAATCTAATAGGAAGCCTACACACGTTTAATTTGTATGTCATTTTCGGCGTTCTCGTCTATTAATTCTCGGATTTGGCTTCTGCGTTTGTTTAATTCTGTGGTTTATAATTTAGTTTAATTTAGACATTACGTTGTAGAACATTGAGTTTATATCGTACTGCGTGCGCTCTGATGGCAAACGTTAACTTTGGGCAGCTGAAATTTTTTCGGTCAATTCCAAGCTACGACCTGTAGCTATACTAGTATCCCTGGTTTGAGCGGTAATGGTGCTGTGTTGATGTTAAGTCGCAACAAAATTGTAACATTTCTAAATTAGGTATACAATATTGAGTGTGGATAATGATTTTATACTTTATTATGTGTACTTGATTTGCAAGAAGTGCGTAATCATATTTGTAACCTTTTTTATTGTCCAAAGCTTTGTGGGAGAACTTCGAATATTCTTTTGTCCTCAATTACCTGCCTCTATATCTTTCTTGTTTCCTTTGTGGGGGATAAAGTTTGTCGGGAAACTTGTTTTATACAGATCAGGTATGAATGGAATATTTAAACCTCAGAATCAAAGTATTTTCGGCTAGTAGAAGTAGTGCCCATGACTACCTTTCATTTTTAAAAAGCCCATTCTGGTTAGGGCTTGCTACACAAAGAAGTCAGTACTGTATGAATAGTTGTATACATATACTTCAGTAAAAATAGTATAAGTATGTGAGAACATTGTGGAAGTGAAACTTATAAAAATGCAAAGGTATTTTTAGTGCATCGTAGTAACATAACCCAGTCATAAGAATAGTGATGTGGTTGCCAGATTGAGGATTGTTGCATTTGAATGCATATCACTTGACACTGCAGACTGTAACTGAACCAAGTCAATGTGGCATGAAAAAGAGTTTTTTTATAAATATTTTAAGTCTGTAGTGTTTTGTGTTTTCAGGTGATTATAGTAACAGACACCTAGGATGCAGCGACGAGGAGGGAAGCGAATTCGGATGGATGATCCTCCACCACCAGAATATGAGTCACCAATGACTCCAATGACACCACTAGATGGAAGTGGAACAGAATTGCAGGAGCCATACACCCCTTACACCCCCTACAGCAATCAGCCTGCCACCCCACTGCATACAGGGCATGTCAGGAATTCTTTTCCTTGTTTTTTATTTCCAGTTTCTGCTTAATTTTATTACTTCATAAAGCTTATGTTGCATCATGTCCATGTGTTTGTGTGTCTCCACTTAATAGCTTTATAACCATTTTGGATATATTCATGAAACTAGGTACAAACTTCATTCCACCAGTGGTCATTCTTCTTCTATATGTTTTAATTTCTTACCATCAGTTAGATGAATATGAGATGTGGAAGTATTGATATTACTATGCCAGGTAGTGGACATTCTGTAATATAATGGATGCGTAATGAATTATAAACCTTAGGTGCCCATATTACAGGTCTGATATGTATGGTAATAGTGAATACAGTGAAGCAACAGCAAGCCAAGCTTACCAGCAACAACAGCAGCAGCAATTATATGAACAGCAAACACAGCAGTTTGATGTGCAGCAGCAACAAACACTTTCCAGCTATGATCAGACAGGCCAGTATGACCAACCACCTACTCCTGTCAATATGGTTACCAGAGTCCGTGTAACACGTGCACGTGTGCGTGCGGCAGCAGCTGCTGCTGCTCCACCTCCACCCCCTCCTCCAGGTTTGTACAGTCAGATATTATTCTGGTGTATGTTTTGTTTATCCTACTGTAATTTCTGAAAAGGAAAGATATGCATATGCTATCAGCCTATCTGCTCACTTTTTTGTTTTTCCCACCTTTTAACTTTTGAACTAGATGAGATGTGAGGTTCTTACAGCAATGAATATGCAGATGGGTATCTTTTTTGGATGTGTTGTCTGGTAGATATTAATCGGTTTAGGCAGTAAGCTTGTTTGAAACATAAACTATTACCTACCAGACTGCATGTTGCTACATTCCAGAAGACAGCCATCTTTAACTCTTGAACCAGTTTTGATAATTTTGTGAAATGTGGTATGAGCATCTTTGCATTGATGCAGTTCCCTTTGTGTGTGTGTGTTTTGTTTAGAGTATCCATGGTGGACTTTTAAAGATCAACAAGTGATTATTTTATTTTTGTCATGGTGCATTGCAGACAGGTGTTATGTTGGATTGTAGCACTGAAAGAATTAGTCTGGAAATGTGATGGTATTTTATTGTGTAAATTTAGAGTTGTTCCTGAGCTTGAATGTTTATGGAGGTACAATTCCTTGTATTCTTAACTTGATAATATGTGGGCATGATTGGTCATCTTCAAGCTGTCGCTATTCTTACCCTGGGGGAAGATCCCAAATACCTGTTAGATAGAGTTCTGAATGGGACTCAGTGTTATTGTACTGACTGAGCTCTCCTGGCTTTACTGTGTACTTGTCTGAATTTTATAACTTTAGTTTTTGTAAAGTTTGTAGCCTATATTAATTTGAGTGATTCTTTCAAGACTTATGACATTATATGAATACTGTGTCGGATATTGTCCATTGTCTTAGGTGTATTAGATATAAGTGACATTTTGAGAGTTGGCTATTCGCCTAAAACATAGTGTTTGTCAAATATACCTAGGTAATGGAGGATGCCTAAGGTAGTATTTGTATAACTAACTCAAGTCTTGTTTTTCCTCTAACATTATTTTGTTTTATACAAGTTCCTGGTGTCTAGCTGGAGTGTTGTGTGTGTCTTTGCATGTTGCTGATTCAGTGGCTGGATTAAATGTATTGTGTTGTCATATTTCAGCTGCCCCAGCGCCAATGACAGCTACAGTAGTTACCACACGGCGAGGCGGTCTAGCAGTGGAAGAGCCAAAAAAACGACGTCCTGGAAGAAGACCCATGTCAGAGTTGATGGCTGAGGATGAGAACAGCTTGTATTACATTATCAGACAAGGGAAGGTTTCACTACAGGTTGGTATTGTCATGCTGTCTTGTTAATTGTAGTGTTTGTGTAACATTGCAAATTGGCTCACATTTCTTAAAAGTTGGCCTTAATGTTTATGCATACCAGATACAAATATATTGTAATGATTCTAATTTCACTGCATATATTACATTGCTCAGTGTATGAAATTAATTTTTATTTACAGCAAACACTCCAGTTGTAATAACATTTTTTCTGAAATGTTCAACACTTGAATGATGTCACTGATAACAGCAGTTGTAGGAGGATCTGTCCCTAATGGCAGCATCATGGACTGTGCTTAATGGGGTGGCATGCCAACAGAATAGTTTGCTCTTAGAAAAAAGACTTTCCAGGCTGCTATTGTTGATTATGAATTTCAGTTAAAATTTGTGCACAGGAAAGCAACAGTTAGGATTGCCATTAACATATTACTTAAAAGTCTTTAAATTAATGGGATTGTGGTTGAGAATAACAGGCATCTTCTCGGCTACAGAAGGTATTCAGAACACAAGAAAATACTTTGTGTGTTCAACAAGCATTGTTGCACAAATGGTGGTCTTCTGCATTGTTGCTGTGACAAATATGTGAACAAATAGAAGGATATGATCTACCCACCAGCTCAGTTCATGCACTCTTTACAAAGAAAGCACAAACATACAATTACAATACAGAATATTTAGTAAACTATAAGTTTGATTATTCACAATAAACCTTTACTTTGTAAAACTGTTATCTTGTTGTTGTGCTCCAGGCAGTTGTAGATGATTGGATAGAGAGCTACAAAGTGAATCGGGATGCAGCATTACTATCGCTGATGCAGTTCTTTATTAATGCATCTGGCTGCAAGGGCAAAATCACTTCATACATGCAGGCATCCATGGAACATGCGGCCATTATACGAAGGATGACAGAAGAGTTCGATGAGGTAACTCTCGTATCATTGAAATGCATCAGATATTCAACATATTATTCATAATATGAGATGTACAGGAAAACATTTTAAAACTAATTTATGTTGATATTTTATGGAATACAAATTAAAAACTATTATAATGTAAATATAATTTGACAATAAGAAACATATGAGTAATATAACCACAGAGTACAGTGTTTGTGAAGGTTCTAAACATAATGTCTGGCAATATAACATGAATAATTAATATACTTTGTTAATTGCATAATTCACACCCCATTGTTCTTATATGAATTTACAAAATAATTTTAAAAAATAGGTCTCTGTATATTTCATACTTTTCATTCTTGTTTATGAAGAAAATTATGATAATTTAAAAGGCTGTTTTCATAAATTCACAAATATATCATGTATCGAAGTTTTTATCACACCATTTTGGAAATAAAAATTCATACATCATGTTGTGCTATGTAGCAGCAACCCTACTGTATAGTGGAGTCAGAACATGTAACAGTACATATATGCCGCGGCTTCTGCTTAAGCACTTCTGTCAACCATAAATACTGTTATGTTCCAGGAGAGTGGCGAGTATCCACTCATAATGACAGGGCAGACCTGGAAGAAGTTCCGCAACAACTTCTGTGACTTTGTACAAATCCTGGTGAAGCAGTGTCAGTACTCCATAATTTATGACCAGTATCTCATGGACAATGTTATCTCTCTCCTTACTGGTTTGTCTGATTCCCAGGTTCGAGCCTTCAGACACACTGCTACACTTGCAGGTAAATACATATGTTCACAGCATAACATCAAATGGAAAATGTGTAAGTCATATACCTCTATCCATGGATATCACATTTCATCTGTGGAAAAAAAACTATGGAGTTTGATTACATTTTGTATTGGTGTGGGAAGGGGGTGTCTATGCAAAATATTCTCTGATAAATTTAATTTTGACTTTTATTCATCTGATATGGCCCCTGTCTCATTTGAAGCTCAAATGAAACTTTGCCCATTTACTCAAAATTAGATTGTCATACTATCCTGACTGAGATTTCCTTTGTTTTTCTCACTCTCATTAGACATACTGAGATAGTACTTTAAAGTTGTCATGACTGCTTCCTTCCTCATCCTTTCCAGTTCATAATTCAGTAATCCTCCAATTTCATACTATTCTTTGTAGCTGGGAAAGTGTAATTAATTAAGTTGTGAAAGAGGCATCACTTATGTATGTGCTTTACAGTGTGCATGGTCTTTTTCTTTTCTCCTCATTCTCCTTTCTCTTCTCGAAAATATTTATATTTTGGTTGTCTTTGCACAGAGAAAAGTAAATCATACCAGGTGACAGAAGTGATTAGTTATTTATGTTTGGCAGCCATGAAACTGATGACAGCTCTTGTGGATGTTGCACTAACTGTGTCGGTGAACTTGGACAACACACAGCGGCAGTACGAAGCAGAAAGACAGAAGGCACGTGATAAGAGAGCCAGTGATCGACTCGAGTCCCTTATGTCCAAACGGCAAGAACTGGAAGAGAACATGGATGAAATAAAGAATATGCTGACATATATGTTCAAGTCTGTGTTTGTTCATAGATACAGGTGAGACAAGAATTTCAGAGAGATCTACTTTTGCTTTGCTTTTACTTTGTATGGCATTTTTCTTTGCACAATTAATAATGTTACAGCCACTGTCATCATAATCATCATCATCATTGATGATTATTATGATGATGGTGATGTAGTCACTTTTTATATGAAGATAGGTAACTCATCCTATTCTTGAAATTTCTTGAAATTTTACTCTTTTTTTTACAGACATTCAGTAAGTTTTTTGTGAGTAAATACATATATGAAACTTTTGAGAACAGGCTCCCATTGCAGAATGTTTAAAAGCAGATAGGTTAATACAAATTGAGTAGTGTACACATATGTCTGCATAGACATCTTTTAACAGTATTTATAGTTGTAAAATTTTAATATTTCAATTGTGCAAAACCTCAGTATTTGATAGCATTATAGAACTACCAACTAGACATTTATAAAGTATTCATGTAATGTTGACCTGGAGACATGCAGTTGATGATAATGACTGATGGTCACAGGGACACTTTGCCAGAGATCAGAGCAATCTGCATGGCCGAGATTGGGGTGTGGATGAAGAAATTCCATCAGAACTTTTTGGATGACTCATATCTAAAGTATATTGGCTGGACTCTTCATGACAAAGTGGGAGAGGTTCGCCTCAAATGCTTGCAGGTAAGATCTTTTATGTAACTCTATGGCACAGGGTCTCCTTTGAAAAGTCAACTGGTAAAGAAGTATCCCAGATTTATGGAATTGTAAAATTCAGTACTATGTTCACAGAATATTGTCATTTGGCACTTTACTGTACTTGTTGAATGTATTCCATCCCTGTCACACCTTATATGTCTTCATAGGATCCATTTTAATGTTATCCCATGTTTCCCTTGGTTTCCAAATGGTCTCTTGTTTTCAGCTTTCTTGGGCCAAACTTTTATATGCACATCTTATTTACACCATGATTGTTACATATAAAACATTTGCTTAGAGGGGCTGAGGGAAGCCATAATAAATTATGGTGCTGAAAGCCAGTATCCTGAGTGTTGTTTGAACTTGGTACTTCATGAAAACAAGTGCTCTGTTCATTGGATGTTGTAATGCAGGCCCTGCAACCACTGTATGCAAGTGAGGAGTTGAAAGGCAAGTTAGAACTTTTCACCAGTAAGTTCAAGGACCGCATTGTCGCCATGACACTAGACAAGGAGTATGATGTTGCAGTACAGGCTGTCCGTCTTGTCATCAGCATCTTGAAGTGAGTACTGAAAATATGAATTTTCAGTATCAAAAATCTACTGAGAGAACTGTTTTAGTATAGTGCTAAAATTGTGTAGGACACGTCTGCAGTTAGAGAGCAGTTTTCTCCCCCTTGTTTCTGTAATTTAAACCAGTACTGCTACATGCCATATAGGCACTTGGAGGGGGGGTAATAGGAGGTATAGCTCCTACTCATTTTTTACCTTGGCTGTAGATAGAGGTGAGTGATCAGACTTCATATAATTTAATTTATATGGTGATTGTTATTTAGGATTGCATTTAGCTGTGGTAGGAATGCTAAGTGTTGATCAGGTTGTCAGATAACACAATACATATTCATTCTGTTGGTAAGCATGAAGTATATTACATATTTCTTTCTTAGTGAACTGCAATTTTCTCTAAATCTGAGTATGATATTTTTTATTAGGCACCACAGAGATATCCTGACAGACAAAGATTGTGAGCATGTGTATGAACTAGTGTATTCTTCTCACCGAGCTGTTGCCCAAGCAGCTGGTGAGTTCTTGAATGAACGTCTGTTTGTGCCAGATGAAGAGGCAGTTGCGGGTATCCGAACCAAGCGAGGCAAGAAACGGCTCCCGAACACTCCTCTCATACGAGATCTTGTGCAATTTTTCATTGAGTCAGAGGTATACATCTTGGTCATTTAATTTTATAACTAACTTTATGATACAGTGACATTTTATTTGAGTCTCTTTTTTACACCCAGACAGATTGTAATGTAGTGCTTTAAAGAAGGCCACAGCTGCTTCCCTCCATGTGTTTCATTTACGGTGTCTTTAGCCTGCCCATAGGTTTCTTTCATTTTCGTTTCAGTTCCAAGACCATTATGGATAAGACATCCAAACAGCAAAACAAAATACTGGGACCTTGCGAGATACAGTATACTGCATCTTAAATAATTGTTAAATAACAGAATAATGTTGGGGTTCTTATGATATTAAAGATGTCCTGGGTGGTCTTTATGTTTGTGATGCCGTGTGGACTTGTAGGTGAGTACCATGTTTTGGAACAACCTACTGCCCCCATCTTCAAGGCTGATGGTGAAGACAGGATGTTCCTGTGAATCAATGGTACCCACCTAGAAATCCTCATGGAATCATAACCTTGAAGACCTCCATTAACAACAAATTAATTATATGGCTATTTATTGGTTTATTATATAATTCAAGGTCTTGGATATAAGGAAGCTACCTACATTACCAGTACTCTGATAAGTTTTGACCATGTGTATTTATTACTTGTCATATATGTGCAGATCTGTGTACCAACAATCTGTTTTTATGTTGTTGTTTTCTTTCTTTCTTTTAAATGAAAGTGGATGTATTTGGTTGGTTTTTAAAGACTTTAATGTCATAGATCAAGTCATTTTAATATACAAAATTTTGATACAGCACTACTTTTATTGTATTGATGTTCTCAGTTTTTCTTATTAGTGCAAATTCACACTAATGAACATTTTTCTCAAGTCAGTTGATCTTTATTATAATGAGTTTTGTAACCGATTTTTCCACAGCTGCATGAGCATGGTGCATATCTGGTGGATTCACTCATTGAATCAAATGAGATGATGAAAGATTGGGAGTGTATGACAGACTTGCTGCTAGAGGAACCAGGACCGTCAGAAGAAGCATTGGATGACCGACAGGAAACCAGTCTCATAGAGATCATGGTGTGTTGTATTCGCCAGGCTGCTACAGGAGAGCCGCCAGTTGGTCGAGGACCTACGCGTAAGGTAAGGCAGTGATTGGGGCTCATTTTGATGTCGGACTCAAAGTTTCATTACTATTTTAAATATCGTAATGATATGGACATCTCAGACTCAATCATTATGAAACTCACAGAAAAAACTCAAGTTCATATTAATTTGGCCCTGTGAAGTAAACGTGAAAGGTAAACACAAAAATTCTTTATTTACTTAATTTTTGTTAATATAAAATAGTCTTAGTAATATAAAACACATTATACACAAACTGAATCCTGGCTTGCTCTTGCTTCTGGACCATCCCTATTGAAATATCCATTGAAAAACGTAGTAAACTGACTTACATTTTTGATACATTTGTGAAAAGTAGTTATGACAAAATCGGAATGTTCCTTATAGTAAACATGAGTTGTTATTTCATGTTGATCAGAAATATGGACAATAACAGAAAGTAATGAATGAATGAATCAAGATGCTAGAATTACTTTTCTGAGATTAATAGCAGGAGTTACAATCAAAGATCAAAAGAGGAGTGGCAGCATTAGAAAGGAATTACAAATGTGTTCTCTTGAGTTCACTGTAATGGCATTTCACTAGTGTGAATACGATATTTATTTGATGCCCACTCAAATTCCCTTGTCCCCTTGCACCCATATTTAAATTTAATTTATCGATGATTTGGTGTTCAAATCAGTACCTGCAGAAACGGTTTGCTTGTGTAGATATTGTCAGCCAAAGAAATCAAGCAGGTACAGGATGACAAACTGCGCCTCACTGAACACTACATCCAGACATTGCCTGCAATGCTTGACAAGTACCGAGCTGATCCCGAGAAGTTGGCAAACCTACTGTCAATTCCACAGTATTTTGAATTGGACATCTACACAACTTCTCGCCAAGAAACGGTATGCATTAATGTGATACATAAATTGTTCGGAAGTACAGCATTTTATCAACCTGTTTGATGTTCGAAAAAAGTTTTCTGCGTCTCTCACGTGCACTAACAAATGTGAATTCATGAAATTGATTTTTCCTCCAAACAAGATTTTATTTCTTGTAGATGTAAGTAGTTGGTGGCTCTATAGAAAGTAAAATATTTGGGCTCATGTTAAAGAACAGTTAAACAGATGCAAAAGAATTAAGATGTCCGTGTTCTGGGCTGTAGCACTGTGTAGTCTGGTAGAAGTTTATCATTGTTTTACAGGTCCTTGCTGTGTACATAATCAGGGTGATTGCCCTCTTCTCCTGCCATATGGACTCTTGAAAATGATGTAGTTGTTTTGTGGATATTTTATATTGAAAAATTTAGGAGTTTGATTGTTTTAACTTTATAATTGATAAAATTTATTAAAGGTGTAACTGTCTAAATAATTGTATTGTGTATTTCTGTCACAGAATCTAGATCTGCTATTAAAGAAAATGGCATCAATTGTAGAAAAGCACCATGACACAGATGTACTGGAAACATGTGCAAAGACTCTGGAACTGCTCTGCACTGATGGCAATGCCATCTTCACTCGCTGTGATGTGGCACGTTCAACTCTCATTGACATGGTGGTCAACAAATATAAAGAAGCAGTAGATGATTGGAGGTCACTAATTGAGGGGGTAATTCAGAGTTCTGGATTAATTACATCTTCAGATTTTATTAATTTCTGATTCTGTTTCTTAAACTTGAAAGTTATAAATAGGAAGAAGTCAGTTTCTCAAGTAGATTAACTGACTCCCTTATTATGTGTTGTAAGGCATTTTGTAAAAAGTTTGTAGTTACTCAGCTGATCATGAGATTTGCTTCTTTTTGTAACCTGAAGATTCATTACCATGTCCACAACAACCTTAAAAAAAATAGGACAAAGCTGTTTTGTTCTACTTCCTTTCAGTTAACCTTTATCTTGAAGATATCCGTCTTCTGGGTTATTGCGCTGTGTAGTCTGGTCGATGTTAACCAACGTTTCAGAGGTCATACTGCCTCCGTCATCAGGGCGATGAAGATTTCTGTCTTCTGGGTTGTTGCGCTGTGTAGTCTGGTCGATTTGGCTTTGATGATAAAATGGACACACATGCCTTATGATTTCACAACCAGTTGATAAAATAAATTGTTATGAAAATATTTTCATGACTAATTATGTTTATTTTATTGTTACTCAGGAAGAAACGCCAGATGAAGATGAAACATTCAATGTAGTATACAGCCTTAAGAAAGTAGCCACTTTCTACAATTGCCATAATTTGGGTAATTGGGGTATTTGGGACTCCATCTTTAAAGACATAAGTGATGCAAAGGATGGCAACAAAACACTGCCTGAAGAGGTAATTCCCTCATTCAGTGAAATCGCTGACGTTTAATTGCTTTAGGATAAAAGTATTTCTTTTATTCATGTCTGCTTTGAGATGTAATTCAGTAATGGGTAATTCTCCTGTTTAGCTTTAGTATAAGGAGATCTTTATGTTTTTTATTGTTCAGTTGGCTATTGTATACAGCTGTTGCCAAGCCTGTTAGTATTGTGTATGTGTTGAATTCCAGGCAGTCCGGTACTGCATCTCAGCTGGTTTCTTTGCGATATTGTGGGACCTGCATCATCTTGAGGAGGTGATGGAGAGTGGAGCAAATGGCTCTGTACAGCTGCAGCAGCTGAAGTCTAGGTTACACACGTTTATGGACACAATGAAGGAGATGTTGATGTCTGGTCAGAACCAGTCTTACATGGAAGAAGTAAGTGAGCAAGAACTGAAACTTGCTTGTTGAAGAAATTCACTTATCAGAGTCCTTTTTTAAAATTGAAATATGTTTTGAAACCTTGCATTCTGTGCAATGTATTGATATATAAAATCATTCAAACAAAATGTCTTATGAATTGTATGATTTAATATGAATTAATTTGTTTGCCACTGATGTTGACCTCTTGAGGCCAAAACGTGTTTGGCACTAAGTATCTTTTCAAGTGTATATAGTTTTGTTTTAATGCATGATTTTATATGTAATATGTTTTCCTTAAGTCTAGAGCCTTGGTAGCTCAGTCAGTAATAGTGACTGACTACTGGCTGGTAGACAGGTTTGATTCCTGGCAAGGGCAGAAGATTTTTCTCTTACCCTCCACATCTAGACCGGCGCTGTAGCCCGCTCAGTATTCTGTCTGATGAGTACCAGAGGCCCATTTCTTGTGGGTGAAGTGGCTGAAGCATAAAGCTAATCACTTAACCTCCATCAAGTACCGAGGTCAAGAGAGAGCAGAGCTATGCCTATGTTAGCCCACATATTTTCACAGCATATTATGTTGCAGGCATATCTCACCCTGTGTGACCTGCTAGTGGTGTTCTGTGAACAATTAGCCAGCAACTCGCAGCTTGTTGACTTGGTGTATGAACCGGATCGTGGGCTTCAGATACAGCTCAATGACTTCATTCAAAATTATGTATTCATTATGGAGGAGGATGGTAAGCTGGTGGTAGCTCATTATTGTTATCAAGCATTCTGTGCCAGAATTCATAAAATGATAGCATAATGGAGTTGTGTCCATTTCTCTGTCAATAAATGTTTGATGCCAGAAAATACTAAACAGATTTCAATTTGTAGTTTGGAGTAAGGATTAAGTATTGTTGGATGAATTTATTTTTGATGCATACTAGCAAAGTATAACCTTATTCTGAAAATGGAAGTAATACATTCCTCCAAAAAATCGGTAACCACCTACAAGACCGCACGTCACAACCTAGAAGATCAAGATCAACATTTTCACCTCTGTTGGAACCCCAATTCTTAATTATAATCTCTATTTTACATCTACTCCAAACTGAACTTTTCAAATTTTTCAAAAATGGTTCGTACAAAAATTGGTGCACGAAATAAAACTTTGTATGTCAGTGTGTTATGAAAAATATACCCCCGTTTTAATTTGGTTATATTTTGCAGTTTAAACAACATTGTGGTGTGGCAAAATAATTTGTATTCAGGTTTCCAGCATAAACATTCCTTCAAAATTTTATGTAATACATTTTCACGTTTTAAAAATTACAACCTTTGTGGGAGGATGGAAGGAAAGTGGTCATGATGATAAGTCTTCAGAACTTAATGTAGTTCCTTTACATTTTTGTTTGCTTTTATTGTTCATGAGATACATTTCTCTCAAATCTTGGTGCATGTTTTACTGTATTAAAAATATAACAATTTGCCCAGAAAATGCCATCTTCCAATGACTAATAACATTTCAACTCTTACATAAAAAGTAAGCTGACATCAGATGGTATCAAAATTTCAATTCACAAATGACTGATGTTTCTTGTAGGCATTATCTTAATATTAGCTGCATGCATGAATTGTAGCAAGTAACGGTGTTTTCTGGTTTTTAGATGAGCAGGATGAACATTCCAAGATTGAGGAATTGCACAAAAGAAGGAATTTTTTGGCTTCATTTTGCAAGTTGATTGTATATAATATGATGCCTACCAAAGTAGCTGCAGATGTGTTCAAACATTATGTCAAGGTTAGTAGTGCTGCGTACAGATGGTTGACAGTATTGATTGTTTTGCTTTTCTGTGCTTATGTTTGTCATAATATGACTTTCTTCTGGGTTGTAGCACCTTGTAGTCTTGTAGAACTTTACTGGTGTTTTAGAGGTTCTTGCTTCCTACATCATGAAGGCACCCATATGATGGATGCAGCAAGGGCCTCTCAAACATTGATAAACTTCTACAATACCATGGAACTTCAACTCAGAACACAGCTGTCGTCGTACTTGCCACTGTGAGAACTTGAAATCCTACCAACCATGCATACCATGTTTGTCATGTTTCAGTATTATAATGACTATGGTGACATAATCAAGGCAACACTGGGCAAGGCTCGAGAAATCAACAAGACTAACTGTGCTCGGACCATGGCAATCAGCTTGACTATGTTATTCCGGGAGCTTCAAAGAGATGGCACTCGCATAAACAGACAGAGTGAAGACTTCATCAGTCTAAAGGTGAAATTATTCTTTAAGCTAACAGAACTTGGATACCCATGTCAAGTAGTGTTAGAAAATTGTATGTCTTGTGATGTCACACTTCTGTCTGTAGGAACTTGCTCTCTTATGTGTTTTAGCTTTCAGAATGGTGGAACAACTCTTTTAAACTAGCTTTGTCTTAGACTTTTTTTTTTTCGAGTTGATGAGATAATTTTTGTTTGTTATGATGTCTACCGTGTCAGTTTTTAATAAAGCCTTTAGCCATTAATATCTTCCAACAACTAAGTGAACTGCAAGTCTTCAAAGCTATCATGGCACAAACAGCAGTTTTCACGTATTCCAACTGGTTTGTAAGATCGGTTAAATGCTGTGAATCCTTGAATCTTGTAACATTTCCATTTTATGTTGCAGGAACTGGCAAAGAGATTTGCTCTGTCTTTTGGCTTGGACGCGGTAAAGAATCGTGAAGCCATCACAGCCCTGCACCGAGAAGGAATATTGTTTTCAGTTAATCCTTTGGAGAACAGTGAAGATCCTACTGGACCACCCCCAAATTTGCCCTTTCTCGAGATCTTGACTGAATTCACCAACAAACTGCTGAAGCAGGACAAGCGAGTTGTGTAAGTATGCTTTATATCCACCTATAAGTCCACATGGCATCATAACCCATGGTATCATATTATTCATTTGACTACATGTTGCTTGCCCAGAGTGAAAGGGCAGTAAGTAAGAAGCATATAGGAGAAAGTGGATGTGGTGTGTTTCAAGGTACTGACTGTCTTTCCTGCTCAGTTAACCTTTTATTAACATGTTAATTAAAATTGGCAGCTTGACTTTCTTGGACCGTCGTATTGCCGCTGGCATGCCATCAAGTCGTGGTGAGGACTGGCAGCCACTGCTTATGTACCGTAACAGCTTGGTACACGGAGAAACTGACCAGCCACCTGTCACATCAAAACGAGCTTACAGCCGCAAGAAGAAAGAGTATGCAGGTAAACTGCTTTCTTGGCCACGAGTTCCATAATAACAAGAAATAGAAAGGTGTACTCCAGAGGAGGAAGGTCAGTTTACTGATAGCTGCCAGTGAAGCAGGTTGAGTTTCAAGATTCTAACAAGGTAATACTAGCAAACATGAAGACATAAATTCTTAATATGCTGATTTTATGAGTTATCAGTATAGTGAATCAATGTTAAATGACAATCCTTTATTTACATTCAGAAGTGTAATGCAGCAGCAGTAAAAATCGTATGTAATAATAGTATTGTTATAGTAGTGAAGATTAACATTTTACATCAAATTCATAGATATTCTCTTCGTACTGACATCAGAGGTTGTTGCATTTTCTCACACTATTC